ATCAACAAACTTGACAAATCTTTAGCTAGATGGACCAAGAAATAAAAGACTCAAATTATTAAAATCAGTAATAAAAGAGGGGCATTACTAATGACTTTACAAAAACAAAACCGTTTTAAAAGGAATTACAGAATACCTAACTAAATGGAAAAACACTGTGTTCGGGGGTTGGAAAACTTAGTATGGTTAATTCCCCAAACTGATCTATAGTTTCAATTCAATCCCTATCAAATGCCAGCTGCTATTTTTGTAGAAATTAAAATGCTGATCTTAAAATTCACATGGAAATAAAAAAAGCTCAGAAGAGCCAAACAATCATGTAAAAGAAGAACCAAGTTGGAAGACTCATACTTCCTGATTTCAAAACTTACTACAAATCTATAGTAATCAAGACAGGGGGATAGACATGTATCAGTGAAATAGAACTGATACCACACATAAGCTCAATCATTTACAGTCCAGTGATTTTCAACAAAATGCCAAGACAATTTGATGGAAAAGAATGGTCTTTTCAACAAATGGTGTTGGGACAACTGGATATTCAAATGCAATAAATAAGTAAACAAACAAAACAATGTTAACCCCTCCTTCATACCGTATATTAAATAAAAATTAACTCCAATGTATTGAAAATCTAAAGTTAAGAGTTAAAAACATAAAATTCTTAGAAGGGAAACACAAAGTGTAAATCCCTATGATCTTAGATTAGAAAATGGTTTTTTTAGACAGGTACCTAAAACATAACCAACCAAAGAAAAAGTAGATAAGTTGGATTTCATCAAAATTTAAAACTTTTGTATTACAAAGGACACTGTCAAGAAAGTAAAGACAACCAACAAAATAACAGAAAATATTTGCAAATTATATATTTAACAAGTGTCTGGTATCCAGAATATATGAAAAACTCTTACAACTTAATAATAAAAGTACTAATAATCCAATTTAAAAAATCAGTGAAGTACATGAATAGACATTCTTCAGAGAAGATCTAGACATGGCCAACAAGGGCAAGAAAGGGCAGTTAACATTATCAGTTATTACATTCAGGGAAATGTAAATCAAAACCACTTCACACCCACTAGGATGGCTACAATAAAAAAGACAGCCAATAATAACAAGTGTTAGCAAGGATGTGGAGAAACCGGAGCCCTCACACACAGCTGGTGGGTGTAAAATGGGACAGCCACTGTGACAGATAGTCTGGCCATTTCTCAAAAAGTTAAATATGGAGTTACAATATGACCCACCAATTCTACTCCTAGGTATATACCCAAAAGAAATGAAAACATACGTTTGTACAAAAACTAGTACAATAGCCAAAAAGTGGAAACTCAAATGCTCATCAGTGGATGATGGATAAACAAAATATGGTATTTTGTACAGTGGAATATTATTCATCCTGTAAAGGAATGAAGTTCTAACATGTGTACAACACGGACGAACCTTGAAAACATTATGTTAAGTGAAAGAAGCCAGACACAAAGGACCTCATATTACACGGTTCCATGTATATGAAACTTCCAGAATAGGCAAATCCATAGACAGAAAGGACGTCACTGGTGCCAGGGGCAGCGGAGGAGGCTGGGGTGTGATTGCTCACGGGGATGGGGTTTCCTTCTGGGGCAATGAAGACATCCTGGAACCAGACAGTGGTTAGTGGTGACGGTTGCACAACCTTTAGCACTTTAAAATGCTAAATTTGATGGTATGTAAAGGACATTTTTTAGAAGAAAAAAACCAAAACACAGGAGGAGGCGAGATGGGGAAAGAAAAGCCCCAGTCCCTTAGACACTTCTGACTTCCTCGGTTGGAGACTATGAGCCCTAAGGGACCACTCTTTCTCCCTTACTACATTCCTGTGGGGGACCCGTCTGTCCCAGGACTCTGAACAAAATGCATTAGTGTGTGTACATGTGTATGCTGCTGTGTACCAGCATATGTACTAGCATGTGTGTGGTGCTGTGTACTAGCATGTGTACTAGGGTGTGCTAGTGTTTACTAGTATGTATGCTAGTGTGTGCTACCGTGTGTACAAATGGATGTGCAAATGGTGGGAGAACTGAGTCTCCCTCATGGCCACAATCCCAATGAACCACCCTGCGTCCTGTGGGTGTGGAATACATATGGGCACACTTACATATGCTGCCACATCCCAAAAAGTCATGCCCAGGGTCCAGTGAGGACCTGGGGGCAATCATTGCTCGGTCAACAGCTGTAGAGCCCGGAACTGAGGTTGCTCTGTGGAGGCAGGCGGCTGAGCTGCTGATCAGGGATGGGCAGAGGCCCACAGGCCTCCTGAGATGCCCTCTTGCGGTCCATAGCGTTTATTGAGAGCCTAGGAGTTCAGAACCCACCCAAGAACTTCCAAACATATCCCAGCTCCCACGGGGCTGCATTCTAGAGAAGAAGTCAGCCTGAACAAGGAATAAGGAGGTGAGGGGCATCAGGCAGAGGACAGAGCAGCCTAGACCCACCCAGCCCCAAAGTCCGGGAGAGCCAAGAGGCGGTGTGACTGGAAGGGGAGAGCGGGGGATGCGGTCAGGGAGGCAGAGGACACGGGAGGTGGTGTGGGAGCAGTCACTCCTAATGCAGATCTCATCAGCTGCTTCTTCTTCTGGGGTTGATCTCAGCAAGCTAACGCCGTGTGGGGCCTCCCTGGCCTCTGCTTCTCCCCTAGGACTCCTCTTCCTCCCACTGGCCAATCAGTCCTGCCCCTCCCCCAGGTCCCAGCTGATACCCCTCTCCAGGGAGACCTCTGGCCCTCCAGAACGATGCTGTTTCAGCACGTGGCACGTCGCCTGCATGACACTTACTACATCATCTGTGAGCTGTTTAAAGCCAGTGCCCTGCTGACATAAGAGCTGGTGCGGTGCTGCTCAGAGCCCACACTGGTCCCCCGCACCAGGCAGGCGCTCAGAGGTACATGCTGCACGAAGGACATATATAAGGAATAATGAACAGCTGGGCCTCCCTTGGAGACAAAGGCCAGGCAGGTTGGGCTTGACATGTCTGAGAACCCACAGGGAGGCCGTGTCTGGGGCAGTGTGGGTAGGACCCTGGCCCGCTGACCTTAGTTCTTGGCCCTCCTGTGCACACAGGAAAAGGATCAAATGTCCACCTGTAGCACTAATGAAAACAGTGTGCAGCCAATCACTGGGGACAGAACCCAGAGCTTGGTGAGGCAGGTGGTTAACATCCTCCTGACATTCAAACAGATGCTTGAGCAGGAAAAGTGTCGACAAGAGCCATGTTGGCACACAGATTTAAGAAAGCACTTCAGAACAAACACAGCTCATTTCCTTGCATGAATTTGAACCCAGTTAGATAAACAGTGTCCGTGGGGCCCAGTCCTAACGAGGCATGCTCCAGTTAGCAGTCTGCAAAGATCCAAGATAGCCCACGCAGCCTGAGGCCATCACTGTTCCAGGATCTGGGCAGGTGGCTGGAGGCCTTTCCTCCCAGAAAACACCAGAGTGCACGGAACCTTCCCAATTCCCACCCTTACATCTTTTCTAAACCAAGGCTCCCAGAAAAAAAAAAGAGCAAAACCAAAAAAATGGGCCTTGTGCACAGCATGCCTCTGTGTTTCATAACAGAGCCCCAAGCCCTCAGCCTGAGGTTCAAGTCACCTGCCTCTGGGATTTCATGTGCCAGCAGTAGGAGTCTGGAAATAGCTGCACACCTACACTTGGGTGGCTGCGGATGCCAACAGGCCGTCCTGATTTTAGACACTTGTGTTCCTGGAAACCACAGCCAAACACGCACTGTAATAAGACGCAGAGACCCGATGACTGCGGTGTCCTGGTGAGTCACACACAGACTCAGAGGCGAACAGACATTTTCACCCTCCATCAAACAGAGGTGGGGCTGGGCGCCACTCTCAGGGCAGGGCTCCTGGCCCACATCTCCTGTGTGTGCCCTCCTGGCTCTGTTCCCTGCCCAGCCTGGTTCATTCTGTCTCCCTACCACCAACCCACACTTTCTTATTCTGAAGCTTGTGTTAAACAGCCTTAAGTTCTTTCTGAACATGGAATACATCTATAAATAAACAGGCAAATAGGTAATTCTCTCCTCACAACTACAGGATCTGAGCGCAAGCAACTATTTTAAGAAGAACGGGAAGAGTGAAGGAGGGGCTAAGGACAAAGCTTGCTGAACTCATCTCCCAAGTGTGCCCCATTCCCCGCGTTTCAGATAACAGGTATTGTCACCTTGTACACATGTCCTACACCATGTCCTATACATATTCCTACAATGTTCACCTGCAGGTTCTACAGTGACAGCCCTGCAACCTGAACTGACCAGAGACCGTCTTCCAGCCATCGGATGACGAATACAGGCTGTGCTGTGGGCAGTTGCCAATGGGGGATGCTCTTCACTACCTGCTGGTGGGCCACAGGGAGTGGAACCTACTGCTGAACTTAGTCTTTGCCAGCATTCCCTAAGCCCAAGGAAAGGACACATTCACCAAGCATTATGGGTAGAAGGAGCTCTAGATTTGGGGTACGGGGTCTGAGTTCAGGCCCTCGCTCTGCCATCTGGCCTCAGGCACACCACTTCACTGTTTCCTCATTTGTAATACTGGGGCATGACGCCAGCCTCTGCCTAAATGTCACACAGGATAACTCTGGCTATTTTTTACAATAGCCAAATACATCATCTCTAGGGTGAAATTTCCTTTATTGAGCACATTAAGAATGTGCCAGAACCTCTTGGGCCGGCCGAGTGGCTCAGTTGGTTAAGAGCTCGCGCAAGGGTGCGAACTCTGAGCAACAGCGGTTTGATGCCCGGCCTGAGCTGAGTTGCCGCTGAGCTGCTAACAGGTAGCAGGATGGCTCAGCTAAAAAAAAAAAAAAAAGCATGTGCCAGAACCTCTAAAAATGATGTCATCTTGGGGAATAACCAAGTCTGGAAATTGAGATTCATTTGTTTGAAAAACAACAACCTGCCCTACTGCCTGGGGGTCAGAGTTGCTATTTCCAGGCAGACTCGTGTCTTACCGCGCGGCCAGCTTGTGGCAGACGACGCCAGTGTCCGTGATGACCTCACTCAGCCTCAGCTCCAGGTGGACCTTGCCCTGAAAGGCACAAGGACAAAGGGTCACATGGGGAATGGCCAAGCACAGAGGAGAGCCGCAATCTTCGTTCACAAACTTGTAGTTATGCCTGACCCGCATGGCATCCTCCACACTTCCACCAGCCCCCACTCAGATCCCAGGGACCTGGCTCCCCCAGAGGGTTAAAGGTTCCATCCTTTTTGGCACGTTGGGCTCCCAGTTCCACTGACAGCAGTCTGTTTCAGAAGAAAGAGGTCAAAAGGAGCAAGAAAAAGGTACTCAGAAGGCGCATCCCAAACACGTTTGCTTGCTTTAGGTTGTGTTCTTTCCAATGACTCAGGTCTGTAGTCAGACACCCCAAAGCCTCAGGGGTGAGGTTGGATAACTCTGCCTGCATGTCCTGGTGCTTCTGTGTCCTGGGTGAGGATCGGATCAGAGGCCAGGGAATCTCAGTCCTGCTCAGGCAGGAAGTTAATACTCATGGATGCTGCGAAGGAGGGGGAGCAGAGGTAGCTGGAGTAACGCGGGTAGAACTGGCTCTGTATTCTACCTGTGTCTGTGCAAAGGGTCATACCAGCTGGGGGACAGAGCAAATGGGGAAGAAGGGCACAACCAGGTTAACATCAGGGGTCAGGAGGTCATGAGGAGGAAGAGGAAAAAGAGGCTATAAAGAAAATCAGAGGGCTGGCTGAGTGGCTCAGTTGGTTAAGAGCGTGAGCTCTGAGCAACAGGGTTGCCGGTTCAATTCCCACATGGGCCAGTGAGCTGCGTCCGAGCTGAGCTGCCACTGTGTGGCAGGAAGGCTTAGCTGGTGAGAGCACGTGCTCCTAACAACAAGGTTGCCGGTTTGACTCCTGCATGGGATGGTGGGCTACGCCCACCCACAACTAAGATTGAACATGGCATCTTGAGATGAGCTGCCCTGAGCTGCGGAGGGGTGGCCGGATGGCTCATGGTTAGAGCGTGTGCTCTTAGCAACAAGGCTACCGGTTTGACTCCCACATGGGATGGTGGGCTACACCCACCCACAACTAAGATTGAACATGGCACCTTGAGCTAAGCAGCCGTGAGCTTCCAGCGGGCGGCCAGATGGCGACTGGACTTGGAGCTGAGCTAACTGCGCCCGCCACACCTAAGATTGAAGGACAACTTGGCTGTTCCCTTCCCCCAATTCCCCAATGAAAAAACAAAAAATTAAAAAAAAAAGAAAGCTAGAAAACCCTGCTCCAAAAAAACTCCCAAAAAACAAACAAAAAAACACAAAAAACTCAACAGTTGCATGACACACTTATGTGAGAGTACATGTTATAACGTTAAAATTAAAATGATTTTTCATTAGAAAAGAGAGGCTGAACTGAATAATCTCCAAGGTCCTTTCTGACTAAAACGCCTAGATTCTGCAGCATGGGGAGAGCCTTTTGAAGGCTGCCTTGTCTCTGAAGAATCCAGGACCCTACGATGGAACAGGATGCCGGATGGGGCAGGTAGGACAAATGGGGAGGGTGTGTGCAAGACAGCTCAGCTGGCTCCCCCAGCAGCCTCTCAGCACTCCTATCACTCCTGTCCTGCTAGCTCTCCTAGGCAGCATCAGAGACACCTGTGTTGTCTGCCCCACCAGGTGTGCACTAGCTGCCCCCCTCCCATCTTCCCTGACACGGAGCAGCCACCCTCTTCATCTTGCTGGCGCTTGAGCACACTGTCCGCATGGCTCCTGTCTCTGTCTCCCCTGTGCCCGACCCACGTGAGATCCTTGGATGAGGTGGATCCCTGTTACCCCAAACCAGGGCCCTGGGCATCCACGTGGAGAATGTGCTGGCCTTCGGCCCACAGAAACCCCTGGTTCTGAACTTAACCTGTGAGAAAGCATCTGGCCAACAACAGGGTTGTGTATCCATCTCCCCAAGTCACTGTTCTGAGATCTCCCGGCTCTTCGGCCTGAGGAAAGCAGTTCCCCATGACCATGCATTTGAAAGAGCTCTGCTGCCCTTTCACCTGTTGGACTCTAAGCTTGAACTCTGAACCACGGGAGAAGCATTTCACTAAAATGCTGGTACCACTGATTATGAGAAAAGGATCAGAGCTGTCTTGGATGTCTCCGAAGGATGAAGGAGAGCTGGGTCATCGGAGAGTTCCTCGCACTCTAGAGGTGAGGCACAGGGAGCACTCCCTGCTTAGAGCCTGACCCCATGCAGAAGCTCCACCAATGTCTTTGGGCAAGAGGCACCACGACCCTCTTATTCAGAAAATAAACCAGGACCTGGGATCTGATGAGGAGACAGGTCAGGGGTGACACCTCTCTGGTTTGGGTCTGGGTGTACCCCCTTCACCCTAGCCCCACCTTGAGTCCCTTCTTGTCCCCTCTGTTCCCCATGCACTCTTGTGCCACTCAGGTCCCCCCACTGGGCAGGTGCAGCTTTGGAAAGTAAGTGGTATCAAAAACACCAGCCCAAAAGTCCCCCACGAAAGCCTTTCTTACTCAAAGCAAACCAGCTCTTCCCTTTGATGGGCTCTAGGATCGTGGAGCTCTGAAACAAGCGGCTGTCCTGAAGGCCACAGCCGGCTCTGCTTGCAGCGTGGTGGGCAGCCAGCCTCCAGGATTCTCACAAGATGTGGCAGAAGCAGCAGCCACGCTCATGACACTGACACAGGAGACCTGACGTGGACAGGGTGCCCCAGGGCTCCCTGCAATACAAACTTGAGAGTCACCAGCCTCTTCCGGGGAAGACAGGCGCTGAGAAGCCCACACCTCCACCAGGGCGCACATGGCAGCAGACTCGCCCACACCACTCCCCAGCTTGGGGCAGAGCCAGGTACTGTCCTTTGCACCTTTTTTTCACCTGCAGGGCTAAGTGGCCACTGGGAGGGCGGGAGCAATGGACAGGCAGGATGCCCAATGATAAGTCCTGGACGCAACACCAGGCCACCAACATCACATCCGTGTGACCCTGGGTAACACCCAGAGTCCTGAGCACAGAGTCAATATCTGCAAAGGGCTTTGACTGGTGTCTGCCACAGGTGGGAACTCCAGAAGCGTCTGCTGAGCCACACTCTGCCTAGGGCAGCTGGCTTCCCAAGGCAACCAGTGGCTCTGCCCACAAAGAGCCCTTGAGGGTTTCCACCCTGGAAGTATCCCTCATCTGATAAGTGCACCAACAGCAGGCTCCATGATGCGGTATTTACCCTCACACGTGTCTGGGCCTGGCCCTCCTGGCTGACCTCACTGAGCTGTGAGCAAATCCACTGGGCCAGTAACTGAGAAAGGGGCCTCAGTGCCATGCGAGCTCTGCGCAGTTTGTGGGGGGACAGGAAAACACCCAAAGTGACAGCAACGATGTTGATGAAGCTGCCTTCCTGCAGCTGCTTTTACTGAGCACCAGCCAGGGTTTAGTTTTCTGAATTATCCTGTAATTCTCAGCACATCCCACAAAGCGGGCACAGCCACCCTCTGCTAAGATGAGAACACCGAGGCTTACAGAAACTAATAACCTGTCCTCGGAAACCAAACCCAGGACGAAACCTCGTGATAAAACAGCATAAGATCTTATCACAGGGCAGTCTCTTATCAAGTTTGGTTCTTCACCTGCCTCCTCAAACGCACTGGGTGCCAACTCTTTCATGGCCTAATTTTTTACATTGGCAATGGCCATTCAGACCAACATTTCAGTAATTCATTTGAGCGGGCTTCTGAGAAGTGAAAGAACGTGTCTGGGGTGAGATGGAGCCCCCGCTGCTGACGCCCAGGCTCGCCATCCTGTTTCCTGTTTTTCCCAGAAGAGGACAACACGTTCACACCAATAGACCCTGTGACTGCTCATGTTTCCTCTCTTAGGGCAAACACTTCCTTACCAAGGTGGCAGATATTTTGTCAGCTAATTCATGTTGGTACCATTTTCTGGTGATTTGGGAGAGGGAGGTATGAGATAAAACACTACAAACACTATTGATCACTTAACGGACTTTGCCCCCAGCAGCTAACTCAAGAGATCCGCAGTTCAGAAATTCACATCTGTTGTTACGCAGCATCACTGACTCTCAGGAGACACACCACCTCCAGCACAAACAACCCAGCCACAAAGGCCGACGCCCATAAGGACTGAGGGCCACACCCTCCGACTCAGCCCAGGCAGGAAATTCGGGTTTTCTACGCTGTCTCTGCACAGCTAGCTTCTGGGCTCACAGAGCACTGGATACAGACATGCCAGTCTGAGCGTCAACCTGCTCAGCTACAGACATGGACCTAAGTGGAGGGGAAGGAAGGAGGCTGGACCTTGCCCTCTCCTTCCTGCCAGTCCTTCAAGTTTCTCAGCGGTTCTCAACCTTCCTAATGCCGCGACCCCTTAATACAGTTCCTCACGTTGTGGTGACCCCCAACCATCCAATTATTTTCGTTGCTACTCTATAACTGTAATTTTGCTACTGTTATGAATCGTAATGTAAATATCTTTTTGTTTTCCGATGGTCTTAGGCGACCCCTGTGAAAGGGTCATTCGACCCCCAAAGGGGTTGTGACCCACAGGTTGAGAACCGCTGCCTTAAACCCTTAGAAAGATTCAAGCTGGGTCCTTGTATGTGGACAGCTGCTGACATTGATTGTTTGGGAAATCCTTCAAGTAGGATTATCTGACACATGAGTCAAATTCCCAGGGATGATCTGGATATGGCTGCTGAAGTTTGCAGTGATGGCTCGTCTGCATTCTTTTCTGAATATATACTTTCATAACAAGTTTACTAAAACAAAACAGAGCACAAAGCAGAGCTCAGTGGCTGCCAGGTGTCCTTGGAGGAGTTGGGGAAGGATCCCCTGGCGGCTCAGTGAGGGGGTCTGCTCAGATAATGGGTGGGGACTGTCTCTCTCCCCATTCAATGTCAAGAAGGACCAGAGGCATGGGAAGAAGGGAACCCTTCCAGACTCGAGCTGTTTTGGCAGCCATGACGGGCTGTGCAGCACAGACTACAATTCAGGTCCGTTCCTGCCAGTCATCTTGTTCTGTTAGCTACCTAGCATCAGGGAAGGAACAGAAGCGACTAATCCTTTTTAATAAAGTGATTTACCAGAGACTTTTAACAACATCAGTTCCAGAAGGAAGACATTTTTTTAAATTGTCTTTTCTCCCCCTTTCTGTGACTCATTGATCTCATTGACCCTAGTTTTCTGACACTTTCTTTTGGACACATGCCTTTTATTGTGAATTATAGAGCAAAAGATTCAAGAAACCATATGCCATCCTCTGCTGTTCTACAAACCATAAATGTGACATTTCAAAATGAAACAGTGAGTGGCTCAGTTGGTTAAGAGCTCGCTCAAGAGTTTGAGCTCTGAGCAACAGCAGTTCGAGTCCAGCCCGAGCTGAGCAGCCGCTGAGCTGCCAACAGGTAGCAGGATGGCTCAGCTAAAAAAAAAATAAAAAACAAAACAAAACAAAAAAAACAACAAAATGAAACAGTGGCTTCAGGGGAAAAATAGCACTTTTAAAGGCCAGTCTGCATCTGGGGCAGTGCTGCTCCCTTGGTGGTATGAGTGGGCATTCTAAGAACGAGTAAGTAAAGCGCACATCTCAGAGCCTGGCACTTAGTGGGCTACCACTAAACACTTGTCCTTCCTCCTTCTCTTCATAGTAATAATGATGAGAATACACTTGCTGTTCTTAAATCACAAATATCTAGGAAGCTGGCCAAGCTAGAGTCAGTGTCCCATCTCACAGATAAGAATCAGGCTCAGAAGGTCAAGGGACTTGTCCACAGGCACACAAAGGGCATCGGTTTTGAAACAGGGAAAAGGAACATGGGCCTTTCTTCACTAATTTTAGTCTTTAAGTATAAATAGGAGAGCACACAATTTGCTAGTCATTATTCCCTGTATACTTTCTTTTGGTGACTTCCGGTGAATCTTTAAGCATTTCAAAAATAAAAGTAAATAAAAAAATAAATTTTAAAAAAAGGCAAGAAAAAAGAAAATTTACACTTGCCAAAAAAAATCCAACTTAAATCTGGGGGTAACACGGTGGGAAGAACATGGTGAAGACACCGCTGCAGCTGCTTGCAGACGCTGCTCTGATTACGCTGCCGCAGCCTGTCACTTCAGAATAAAAGTGATGGGGAAAACTGTCAAAATGGAAAGCAGGCATGGTTCCAGGCATAGAGCACCAATTCACAGCACACTGCTTCTGGAACTTTCTGTCTAAAGATGAGATTTCCAATCACCTGAGCAGGTGTGGCTGGCTGTTGTATTCCTGGTGTTAACGTTCATCTTTATTGTTAGAACTCTGCTTTTGAACTTCGGGCAGAGTTATTAGTTCTGCAATAATTACAGTGTCTTCTAATTTCCACAGCACGTGGGTTGAAATTAATTAATTGTGAAGCACCTTTATGATGCCTCTCTTTGGCTCAACTCCTCAACACTTCCCTCTGGTTGCCTCTTTGTTAAAGTTTGCGCATCCATCCCAGTGGCCACCAAGGCCTGTGCACCCCATGGCCTCAGCAGGCAGAAACCCTGAAACCCCTGCCTTCACCTTCAGAACTCGGCTGAGGACGAGGGTCTGGGAGGAAGCGTGAGGACATGCGAGCCAGCCAGGCCTCCAGATGCCGGGCGAGGAGCCCTGGGGTGGGGCGCGCAGGGAGGGGCCAGGGATGTCCTACCAAAACGTTGGGCACTGTCCAGCTGTTCACAAAACCCTGCATGATGAAAAGACTGAGGCTTGGAGAGACCACCCCTGGCATATTTCACTAGTGGATGGGGGCACTGAGCTCTGAGCCAGGCCTGCCCATGCTCAGTCATGCACCTCTGCCAAGCCACTGACATTTCATCCGCCAATGAAAATGCTTGTGCGTCTCAGTGTAGGAGCCACTGTGCTGTTTGTTCTTGGCTCCCAGTTTTAGAACTCCAGACACCGGCACGGGTTTAGAACAGGCTTAAGTGGAAACTACACAAGCCCGGGTCACAAGAGAAGAGAAGGTGCAGCCAACCTCCTGAAAGGTGCTCAGGTGTTCTGGACACTCAGCATGGGGAGTGACCCCAAGTTACGGGCAAGTCCAAGAACAGCCTTATGGGGAAGAGTTGGGAACCTGGAGCCTCATAGTCGCCCATGATATGGGGGAGAAACCCCATGTTCTGGGGGTAGCTCCTTCCACAGTATAGGGTGGGGGTAGTCCCAGTTAACACATTGCCCATTTGAGCCAGGGTGAGCCCAGGATGCTTTAGATGATGAGAACCTCATTAGAGTGGTCATTTCATTGAGCTCTAAATACTTCTTTGCTGAGTATAGGAGGGCTTGAAAACACATTTGGTGACCTCCCAGCAAACACAGGGAGGGGCCTGCGGTATGAGGTTCTGTGTACTGTTCTCACCCCACAGATTTATTTTTTCATACCCCTGTTTTCTCTTCACCTTCAACTATGTTATTGATTTTTGCATTTTGTATTTTTAAAGCTGCTTCAATCATGCATGACAAAGTGTGACAATAACCAATTTAATAAACAAAATTAACAAGCCTACGCTTACTATAAATAGGACACAATTTGCTAACGATTCTTCCCTGTTGAGACCAAATCCCTGTATCTATTTCTGTAACCACAATCAGAGTCTCTTCCATTCCCAAAGACCTCCCGTGTTCCATGGGCTCCACTGAGGGTCTCACCTGCACTTCTGAGTCCGCGTCGACATGCTGCAGCTGGAACCACGTGTCCCTGTTATGGTATTTCTGCAAGTCTTCCTTCTGAATGGCCACCTTCCCTAAAACAGACAATGCAGAGGAAACACAGTCATGAAAGGGAACAAACCCTCCAGACCCCACAAGGTTCATAAGCAGAAGTCTCTCCATTATCACTACCAATTACTTCAAACAGTATAACCCAAAATAGATAATTGAGTAAGTTGATAACACCATGCCGTCTTCCTTCCAGTAAGATCAATATATGCAACATTTCATCTTGAAGGTGCCCAAGTCCCACCCCATTAGCAGAACACATCTGACATGGTGGGAGCACAGCCTCAGTGTGGTCAGGGCCCACCTTTTATGAGCATTTCACTACCTGTATTTTACCCAAGGCGGTTGTAGTGATTTAAGGAAAAGAAAAGAACCCTCTGCTGTCTGATCCTATGGAAGTTTAGGATATGCCACCTCAAAATACTTCACTTTGGCATAGGATTATTTCAGCTGGAAGCAAATGAGAATCAGCAGATGCAAAACAAAGCCCTCCCGGAGTTTCCCTTATCTTCTATATAAGCAGAAACTGCTGAGAAATAAGGGCTGCCCTGAATCCCTCTTCTGGGAAGTTGTACGGCCATGAAGAAGATGGAAAGTTGGCACCAAGATGGTCCTGCACAAAAACCTACTCCATTTGTTCCCCCATATATTTATTGTCCCACAGCCTGCCACCTTTCAACGTCTAAAACCTTTTTCCTTTGTCTTGTCACTTCTCTGACATGTATTGTTCCTTTGCTAAGCTGCCATAACCAGTCCAAAGTCTAACTAAACTCTTTGAATTACTCATCATTGAGGTTTCCCCTGCATGATGTGTGCTGTGGGCATTAATACACTGTTTCTCTTCTGTCTTTTGTCAGTCCGTTGTACAGGGCCCTGGCCGGAGAACCTTGGTGAGCAGAGAATACGATTTCTTCCCTTAATGGTCTTCATATTTTGTTCTGAGAATTCAGTCAACTGAGCTCTGCTCTGGACTCCAGACCCTGTGAGACCAACCCACCAGCACAGATATGAAGTCTGAAAGGTGAAACAAATACAAAGAAGCCGTTCCAAGTGCCAGGGGGTGAAGGTGTCCAGGGAGTCAGGGCAATTTGCTTCCACTGACACCTGCCTTCAATCTCCATCTATCCATCATTATGCCATTTGTTTTATCAGCATAGTTACATCATCTCATACTCTCAAAGGGAAGGTAACTGAACCTCACACTCCCCACACTGCAAAAGAGGCTTAAGAAAGACTCTGGAGGGGCGGCCAGTTAGCTCAGTTAGAGCGCAGGCTCATGACATCAAGGTTGCCGGTTTGATCCCCACATGGGCCACTGAGCTGCACCCTCCACAACTAGATTGAAACAACTACTGGACTTGGAGCTGATGGGTCCTGGAAAAACACACTGTTCCCCAAAAAAAGTTCTTTAAAAAAAAAAAGAAGAAGAAGAAAGACTCTGGAATCAGTCAACTAGGGCTACTCAGTTTGAGGCCAGTTAATTCCACATAGCCAGTACTTTTGTCCACCTGTGAAGTGGGCACAGCGCACGAGCACTCCAAGGGTCAATACCATTGCCCACATCAACCTTGCTGGCTCAGCTCTCACCACACAGAGCCATCTGGGGCCAAATCCTGCCCAGCCACACACTGCATAACTGTTTAAGCCACTGCATGCAAAGTCAGCAGGTAGAAGAGCAGGAGAGACAGATGCAAGAAACATGTAGCAAATATAGGCTGCAGAAATTCTCCACAGAAATTCAGAGACCCAAATTACACACCACGTAGGATTTCCTCCAACCAGGATCAAGTTACAAGGGCAGGATGGCGCCCTCAGCACTCATCTCAGGCTCCTCCCCACGCCTCGGTCCTGCCCTCCCACCACGCATTGCCTTGGCAGGCATCTTGCTGAGGTGCTGACAGTGGGTCCCACTACCTCTGGCCATTCCTCAGCCCACCCCCGTCACCAGGAAGACCGGCCCCCAAGAGAAGACTCCTTCCTCTCTGTTTGGCTCCTGCAAAACTCCGCCCTTTTCTCCCCATGGGAATATGATTTTGGGTCTTGCAAGAATAATACCACATGAAACAAGAAATTTCTTGCAATTGAATTGAGTAATATATTTCATTGAAAAAGAATAAAGAAATCTTCAGACTCTGTGATTAGTTCAGCCGGATAAGAGGATTACGTTTGAAGTTTGAAATGTTAAGTAATTGCGATGCTTTTAGGAGCTTTAACTAGGCTAGGGAGGAGTCATGTATTTAATTCTTATATGAATCCTACAACTTACACATCATTACGCTTTATTTTGGGAAGTGCTTCATTTAATATTAAGTAGGTCAACACAGGAAAATAGTACAAAATTTGAAACATTCAAAAGAATATAAAATACAGCCAAGAATAAGTTTCTCTATCCCCTGCTACATAGTTCCTGACTCAAGGGTCACCTCTGTCACCAGCTTCCAGTTTGTCATTCTAGAGATCAATCACACTTAAGAATATACGAATGTGCACGTCTAAAAACATGTGTATTAGTGTTTCTAAATTAGTGTTCTGAGAGAATACCTGATCCACACTCATAATGTCTACTTAAATGTCTTTGATGTGTCATAATCCACAGAGTTGTCCCAATCTATCTGAGTGACATCAAAAAGTCACGAAACCACTCGGCTTCACTTTCTTATTTGAACAGAGGTGGTGCCACCTGCTTTTTCACCACTAAAAACTCCATTTATTATTTCCTCTGATGGGGGTTGTGCCTGTCAGGGTCTGTTCAGAAGACAGAAGCATGACAGATAGTTCAACAGAGGGCATGTGTTTTAGGGAACCAGGTACAGAGGTGTCAGGGGATGTGGGGAAAGGTGGAAAACCAGGGTGAAACCTGCAGGAAGTCCGACTAAGATCAGACTAAATGAGGGGCAGCCGGATGCTTCCCCAAGATGGAGCTGGTGGCACAGACGTTTGTTCTCATCACTCCTGTTCAACCTGGTGTTCTAACTGGTGCACGGAGGCAAGAGAAAGAAACAAGGGCACCTAGACTGGAAAGGTAGGAATAAAAGTCTTTATTCACAGAGTCCATAGGAAAATCTGTAAGAAAAGCAAGTAGAATAGGTGTGTTTAGTTAGCAAGACCACAGAATACAAAGTTAATACATAAAAATCAATTGTATTTTGTGCATATAAGCAATGACAATGAAAAATGAAATTTAAAACAGCCCAACAGTCTCTTTCACAAAATGAGACATTTATGGCTTGTGTTTTTGATGTACTATCTTTAAAAATCTTTGTCTGCTCCGTCAAAAAAGTATATAAGGAGCTGGCTGAGTGGCGCGGTGGTTAAGAGCTGGCTTGGGACGCCAGAGGGCCCCGGTTCGGATCCCACATATGAGGGCCAGTGACACTGCCCTGTATAGCTAAGATGCTGAACAACAGCTCAACCTGGAGCTGGGCTGCCATGAGTCACCGGCGACAGCGTAGGCTGCAGCCCCTGTGGCAGTGGGTTGCCATGGGCTACCGTGTGTAGCCAGCAGCCGCTGTGAGCAGCCGTCCAGAAGCCGGCGACTGATCTGCCTCACCCGGGAAGAGCGCATTGATGGTGCCAACTTGGGCCAGTGAAGCAACGTCCTCCACAACTAGACTGAAGAACAAAAGGACAGCAACTTGTCTGTTCCCCTCCCCCAATTCCCCAGCACTGTTCCCATCCCCCAATTCCCCAATTAAAAAAAAATAAAAATAAAAAAATCTTGGAAAAAAAAAGTATATAAGGATAAATAAATAAATAACAAGTGTGTGTGTGTGTGTACTCAAGATATGTATGCTGAAAACATATCACAAAACACTGATGAGACAAATTAAAGAAGACCCAAGCACATGGAAACGTATGCCATGTTGGAGGGTCTCAATTTTGTTAAGATGTTAATTTTCCCCAAATTAATCTATATATCAATGCAGTTTCAGTCATTTTGGAAATTAAGATGCTGCTTTTAAAATTCAAAGGACCTAGACTAGCAAAACAAGTTTGGAAAAGAACAAAGTTGGCAGCACCCTCACTGGATACAACCCCTCACTCCTAGACTCAAACCTGCAGGGGGGCACACATGCAGCAGCACCAGGAAATCCTAAAGGTGGCTGTGGGCTCTCCCTGGCGTGATGCCAGCAGATCAGACACAGGACACTGTGAGAAGCCCGTGACACTGTGCTTGTTTCCATGACACAAATGTGCACCCTAGAACTTAGCTTCTCATCCTAGTAACAACATAATTACTAGTCATAACTTTAAATTATTCCTGGAGCTCCACACAGCCACTTACTTTTACAGCTGTAGAAACAATGCTGAAAACACGTCAGTCCCAATTGCACACTGACACACCATAATTTTAAAGCCACCAAGAATGGCTAAACCAGGATTTCGCTGGTTATCTTTAAAAATAGCAGGGACCTTAAACGGAACTGATTAATAAACATCTTATTTGATTATTTTGAGGGGAAATAACCTCAGAACCATCTTGATCAGTTTCTCTGATTAAAATGTGCAAAAATATTTTAAAATTTCCTTTTCCTTAAGATTACCACTCGGGAAAGTTTTCATGTGACTCAAAGGATTAATCAAATTCCTCTTCATTCTAGTATAATCTGAGCCAATTGCTAAGACCAATACTGTATCTCCATATTCACTTTCATCTGTCATCTGGTGTGTCCAATGCAGGCACAGTGCCATCGGGTAAAATGTCAACTTCTAATTGAACAGCTTAGGATTCTACACTTTCCTTCTTCCCTCTCCTGCTTCCTTCCTTCCCTCCATAAACAAACCTTGGCACACCCAGTTGATATTGAATAGAGATAAACGTGGGCCCTCCCTCAAGGAGCTCCAGGCCATGGGAAGTACAATTCAGTGAACGTATGACAAGAAGAAAAAAAAAAATGTGTCAGCAGGTGAAACCATGGGAGAATACCCAAGGGACAGCTCGCTCAGGTGCCACCTCCAGCTAACCAAGGTCTCGGGTGGGTGGCAGCCACCACGTGGGCATGGGGATGGAGAGAAGGGCCAGAGG